CATGAATATCATAAAGACCTTTAATCGTTGTGTATAAAAGTTCTAGTTTTCGTTCCCAATTTAAACGTTTAAAATTTGAATATAAATATTTTTCGAGATTACCGTCCTTTTTATAATCCGTAATCATAAGATATTTATCAGCGCCCGGGCATTTTGTTATCCCATAACATCTAATAATATAACCAAATTCTTTAGTGGAGGTCATTTGAGCTGTAATCTGAAAAAAGACAAAAAAATTTTTAATTATAAATAAACAAATATAACAAATATTAAATAATTTAGCAATTAAATTAGATACCTCTTGAAAAAATTCATAAAAATTATTTAAATTTTTTATATATTTGAGAACAACATCAGTCTTTCCAGATCTACACCAACTTTTAATTTCATTATCATAATGACTAATAGGACCGAGCTCCCATTTTGCTTTATATACAATTCCATATCCTCCTTTAGCTAAAGGTTCAACGGAAGATATATATTTAAATGGAACCCATTCTAGTATTTTGGCGTCATTTATCGCTTCAAGTTGTATTTTTTGGATAAAATTATCAATGGTTTCGTTTCCGCTTGTCCATTCGTCGAATTGTTTTTTAAAATGGACAGAATTACAAACTCTGCACCAAGTTGCAGTTTCGCAAACACATTTGAGCTTATCGGATGATTTAGAGTTCATTTATGAAAGTTTACATTACTTTCTAACGGTTTAAAGAGAGAGAATAGAGTAGCATAAGCGCTAAATTTGCGCATAAAGTAATTAGTATAAATAATAAACATGATTAGTATCGGTGTACAAGCTTTTCGTTACACATTAAAGTAAAAAAAACAGTTATTGTTTCTATTTTCGGAAACGTTATGTTTCACTATTAATTTGCTAAGATAATAAGGTTTATCGGCGTTTTGATTGTCTTACAGTACGTAAGACTCAGCAGTAATTACTACGTATTATGTAGTAATTTTTGGCTAATATTATTCTCGTACGTAAAAAATCTACGTATAACACTCATCGGCAAAATTATTATCAGCTAATTTTTTGATTATTATTATTGTTCGATCGATCATATGACTTTATTGAAATCGAAAAACATATGGGAAATCTGTTCGCTATTTTTATAGGTCTATATCCAACATGATGAGCCTAAATCTAAGGAGACAGAGATATCTCTTAGAAACCATATCTTAAAAGTACCTGAATTAACTTAAAAATTTGTGTAATAGATGTTCATCAAGAAGAAACCGCAAAGAGAATCAGATCATATAGCTAAGCTATTATGGAGTAATAGGTGGCTACTTATCCTAATACGTAAAAAGTTATTACATTATTACTACAGCCGCAGAGCATAATATCTATAAGATATGTCCTTGCACTACTATCGCAGCCGCGAAGCCTACTTACCCACTCATAAGGTCCTTGTACTACTACTGCAGCCGCGAGGCCTATACCGCTTATTGATATCCTTAAAAAACCAATAAACTAGTACTTGGTTGCTGAGTCACCGTCCAATGGGCAGGGTAAGGGAGAGATGATGGAGCCAGCGTTCACCGCAAGGTAAACGATAGCAAGAAGAACGGTAAACCTCACATTTCTTTAAATATCACCACGTAAGCGATACGTAATTACAGTTAACTGATTCTATAACTGATAAAAATCATATGAACCTGCATTTAACGAGTTTAATACCATAAAAGGGGGGTCCTTAAAGCCGGGTAGATTACGTGAAAAATCATTATTTTATTAACATTAGGGTTAGGGCCCTTTTATGTTAGGGTA